GGCCAGTGGCCAACCACAAGCACAAGAAAGACAAATAAAGCCTCACATGTCACAGAGAAGGAAGGAGCAACAAGAGGGAAATACGCAAGCAACAGTCTGGTGAAAAAGAAGAAGATGAGAAAGTTCTCATGAGAGAGTTCTCAGGGCTCTGACCGGGCTGCTCATCAGACAGAAGTTTGATTGTGGTATTTGGGAAGAAGGTGGAGAAACAAGTATGGGAGAAATGAAGGTTCTGTAATCAGCTAGAGAACAAAAAACAATGACTTGAACATCTGGCCCCAAGGAAACAGAAAAAATGTGTGAGACTTCTATAAAACAACTGCCAGTTGTTTACTTAATGTGCCCATGTAGAAACCTTAGCTTCACTGATTATGACTTTCCTTAGCCTGATATGGTTTGGGTTTCCTTTTTTTTTCCTTGGCATTTTTTTTTTTTTTCAGTCTTAAAAAACAGATAATTGCTATAAAGCAATATTACAAAGATCACTTTCGTGAAACTGAGTACTTATATTAGAAAACCTTAGATTTAACACAGCCTTTTCAAACTACTTTTTGATACTTCATCCACAATGGTTGTCTGCAATTCTCCTCCTCCTCCAAGAATGATGCTCAGAAATAGGCCTTCATTCTAAAACAGTCCAGCAAGATGCCAATTGCATTGATTCTTGAAATCTAAAAGATTCTTTACAGATTTTTCAAGTGAAAACAGTGTGTCCTACATTGACTCAAATTTTTTATTCAATGTCTGAAATATCTGACAGGCTCTGTGCCCTGCCAAGAATGATAAGGCTGAAAGCCTGGAGGCTTCACTGTGGATAGCAGGTTTGCAATTTCTTTTGCTTGTTTTTACTTTTTAGGCTTTATTGGAAACATGGTCAAAAAACAGTTGATTCTGAGATTACTTACTACCTAAGGCTTCCAAAAGGGGCCCTGTCACTGAAATATTACAATTAAACAGGTTCAGAAAAGATAAAAACAAATAGGGGAAAAAAAAATAATCAAAACTGCTTCACAGAGTGTTACCAGAGTTCAACCTCCCTTAAGCAGTGGTCGGCTCTAAAGATGAAAAGTAGAACTGTGTGACAGATACTGCAATGAACTTGGGTAAATCAGTTTTGTCTGTCTACTGTCTACTGGAATACAGTTAACAATGAACTGCAGGAAATACTCTCATAATGGTAAACAGAAAAATAAGAAAACAGTAATGATTTCAAAACATGATTAATTGCAAGTGGCAGCAACATTATATATATGATTTTAGTATGATGTGAATTACAACAATTGATACAGAGGGGATAATATATGGATTTTCCTCATTCTGCACCATGCATGTGACTAAAATTAATGGAAGTCACATACATATACCAAGAAAATTATAACATGTAGAATTATTTATGGAATAGCCACTTCACATCAACATTGAAAGCATCATTATAATGGCTAGTTACACTCAGAAGACAAAACCATTTAATATTTATTGTAAATGATAAAGCTTGAATTCCTATCATCATTACACCACATTTTTCATGAGCTAAAGGGACCACTAACAGAAAGATTTTTGTACAGCTATTTTTTTTTTTAAGAAGCCATAAACATAATGTAGTTCCTCACTACAGGACACTGATTTCACTTACAAACTAAGTCATTAAGTAACAGGTACTGGCAGTATTTTCTAGAACAGTGCTGTGCAATATACATTGAAGCAAACAAATTGTAACATCTGAAATTGTCTCTGGTTTGTTCAAAATTCTAGTGACCCCAGAGAAGCTGAAAAGCAACAGCATGCAGAAGTCCACCATCTCCAAATTTCTGGTGCCAAGAAAGCATGAACCCATAAGCACGTTTCCCTTTTACAACAGCCATCAAAGCTGTGCCAGCAAGGGCAGGAAAAGAAAAAGCTTTACAGCTATACAGGCACCTTTATAATTTTCATATCTCAAAACTAAGGCATTTCCAGTAAAGGCTGCTCTTGAATCACTATTGACTTCTACAACTCAGTTTGGTTCACAGTATTCTCTACCTCCTACTGTTAACTCTTGAAAGAAGCCTTTCAAAGATCAATGCAGACTGCTAGGATTCTGGATGTTAAAATGTAATTCTGCTTGTCTACTTGGTTTTTTTTGAAGGGCTGAAGGGTGATTTGTAGCAATCAGCATAAAGGGATTTGACTGACAGAGTTTAACTAAGTGATCTAGAGAAGATTAATCAGGGGAAAATTGCTGAAATTCTAAATTAAATGGCAGAGGTTTTCTCTGCTTAAAAAAAAAAAAAATAGGTTCTTTTAGACATGAAAATAATTCCAAAAGCTTCTACAAGTAGCCAATGAAAAGCTTAGAAGTGCACAGCATAATCTTTCAAATAACATTTTGCAATAGTAATCAAATGAAAAGAAAAGATGAAAGGGCAAGAATCACAACCACTACCAAACAAGTTTGTTGACCTCACTCACACAAACCTCAAAAATGTAGCTGCCGAACTTCCCTCAAGTAACATACAGAAGATTTAGATGAAACACCATTATATCTCTTCCTGTGGATATAATGGCTTTCTTCCCTCTCTTTAGTGTACCTATTCTTTTCTTCAAAGCCTGCTCTCTCTACTGCCTTTTTCTGCAATTCACCTTTCTCCACTTTGTCTACAAGCAGAGAGCCCAGCTGGAGGGTGCTTGCCACACTACCTAGTCAGTGGTGGAGAAGGAGAGAAGCCCATGTCACCTCAACACCGTTCCCATTAGCACCCTCAGGGACAGGTGGGCAGTGGGGAGGGAAAAAACATTCCCTGCTGAATATCTCTAGCACCAAAGATACTGAAAAAGCAGCAAAAGACAGCTCTGAAAACTGTCTGACCAGCTTAAATGGGAGTACCATGGAGTTAAGTACTATGTAGCCTCATTTGACAATATTATTCTTCTGTTCTGAATTTTTGGCCTTTAATTTGCAAGCTCATGAGGAAAAAAAAAAAGTTGGCTGCTTTTTTTTGGTTTTTACCCTCCAGTTGTGTGAACAATTTTATACAGATAGAAACTAGCATAAGCAAAAGATCTATTTATTCTTTGTCCTGATGGTGCTGGTTATTTTGTGTGCTACTGCCATTACTTGCAAGGCCCTTACTTTAAAGTCCCAGACAATCCTACAGCCCAAGTCGAAATTGCCTTCCATCCAGCATGACAACTATTTCAGTTCAAGGCTGTTTCTAATTGATTTACAGAATATTGGCAGGATAAAGCTGTTCCATGTTTAAAACTACTGCAGAAACATAGAATTAACATTTTTATTATGGTGCTTCAACCTCATATATCCATCTGCTTATTTTTTTTAATTTTCTCTAGATTTTCTGGGCTTTTCACCATTCTTTTGTGACTTAGATTTATTATCTGCAAATATAACTAACGTGCTAATCTTGTCAGATTTTAGATCAGTTATACAGAAGCATATTAGTCTACAAAAAACTACCATGCTTTTGTACTAACAAGTTAGTTTGTATAAATATCAGGGTTTTTTTATAAATCAGGTTCACATCGGTGAAACTTTTCCAATCTACTACTCAGTGCTATTCTAGCACAATAATGATATTATATTATTAGTTTGCCTGTATCTGGTAATTTACTGTAGTTTACACAGTTTTGTATTTATTGGAGACATCAAAGAAAAAAAATACATTTGAAATGTCAACACAAATGAAATTTAACACAGAAAACTTATTTTCATTAATGATAAAACATGTAGTTATGAAAGACTGTACACAAGGTATTCACTCACTGAAATACTGCAGAAACTAAGGGATTTATGCAAGCTAATGATACATACCAAATGATATACCTCAGTTTAATACATCACACTGCATTAGTGCCTTGCAAATCAATTCTACATCTAAGCCATCTCAGTTCTCTGCTCAATTACTCTTTGTAAACATTACCTTTGTTCTTTAGAATTTCTATCTTTGCCAAAAAATAAAGGGACTCTTCATGTGTAAGCCTACAGTATTCATCTAGACATTCAACACCTAATCTGACAATACTAAATATTAAGGTCAAGAATTATCAGTTACAGACTTGAAACATGATTGTTCTTTGCAAATCCAACATACAAACAATTTGTGTTTCACAGAAGTTCAAGACAGGATTCAGTTACTTCTTTGCAGACTGACCAGAATGTTTTCTAGTAGTTTTGCAGTGACTTTGGTTATCTGTTATTTCAATGTTGTGGATACATTTTTTAAACTCTCCTAGGAGATTCAATGCAGTACTCTTGAAAGCCAGTGATGAAAGTTTCTTCAGAGGATATAGCATCTAGTTTCATTCTATGATCAAAACTTGTTTGCTTAACATATTTTTTATTCATCAAATATTCAGACAACCAGAAATTTTTCCATATTTTAATGACACAATCCTGATAATATCATCCTCAATTTCTGCATAGTTGTAATTTGGAATGAAACATTTTTATTTAATTTTTTTAAGCACAGTGAAGACTTTATCAGATACTAGTGGCAACCACCACCTGTCCAAACCTACTTGTGTGTTTCATTGTTAATAACATGAGTTAATAAGAATGGCCATGTGTAACAAATGCTTTATTCTGCCTTCACAATATTTGTCTAAATTTCATACAAATTATTTAATGAGTGTGTAAACATTTAGAAATATTCTTAAAACAGAAAATAACATTTTTTTAATACAGTCATAGAATGTTCTTAAAATTTTAAGCTTTATGAAAGCCTAAGAAGTTGTTAAAATAGCTGCTATTTACCTTGGTCAGCTTCTGCGGTCAGTGAAGTGACACTTATAAGGTTTCCTGAATCTGCCTCAGAAAGTGTTAATTAGTGATGATTAGTAAAGGCCTGGCATGCAGAATTGACTTACTAGCTGGCAAGCTGCTGGTCAGCTCTTGGCTGAACCAGCACTGGAGCCTCTTGCACATTTGCAACCGGCTTTAGACTGTTCTGCAGTGTAGTTCCTGGCTTAGCACAAAATGCAAGGCACATGCAAGAATCTCCACGTACCTTCTCATACAATCCAGGGCCCGAATAAAGAAGTCTTTGTGAAGCTGATGCTCGTCCCTCAGGATGGAGCATTGCTCCAGTGTCACTGACATGGATGTCCGGTCTTTGGCACTTTTGCAACAGGTGAAACGGACTCCGTTCAGCTTGCGGCAGATCTGAAATACAGGCAGACATCAATCCTTTGCCTTTGCCCTTTTCACACCTTATGTTCTCTATGCACCAAACAGACTGTGAAACTCCCACAACTGTGCAGTCCTGGACAATGAATAGAAAGAACTACCGTACTTCTCAAGAAGAAAATAGCTATTAAATGGTAGTAACTCCGAGTGAATTACATGGCTGTTGATGTGTGTTTTGGACTTGGGGATTTTCATATTCTAAGGATTTTGCTCCTGCTGGCCTGACACACTGCCATAAAATGTGAAAATGTTACGCTGAAAAGAACAGTAAATTTATGTTTTGTTTATAAATTTGCAGGATTAACCCTCTACAAAAGTAGCACCAAAGGATTATAGCTATGGATCTATAGCCCACTTCCAATTTGTCCAAATGACACATTTTAAAAGCAAATCCTCAGGGCTTTCATTAGCAGGATAAGCCTACAAATAATGTGCCCAGTGAGGAAAAAGGAGTCATGATTGATTTTAGGAGACAACTGAACACAGTCTAGCACAGCAGTTGTAATCAAGTCTGTCTCCTGCTGGCCTCAACATGCCTCAGAGTGAAGCAAGAAACCGATGGTGGACCCAACAAAAAAACCCCAACCAACCAACCAACACAACAAAAATCCCCCAAAAAACCAAGTCACTGAAATGTCTAGATGTGCTACAGCTCACCAAACTATTGCATTCAATTTCCTGAATAATCAAAACTCCTAAATAATCAAAACAGGCAAACAAAGTTATCTGATCCCCTAGAAATCTAAGAAGTGACAATATCAAATATATGGTAATACCATTATATCCAAACACACAGATTACAATTAGAGACCAGCCTGACTTTTATCCACAATTTTGCTTACGTCTTCCCCAAATACATTGAAGATGTAGAGGAAAGAGAAATAGACTTAAAATTTATTAGAGCTTTAGAAAGTCTCCCTTATAAACAGAGATTTAAATTATTAGGATCGTGATTAAGTTTAAAGAGGGGATGATGAAAGCATTAAAGCTCATGAAGACTTAAACAAGGATAATTTCATACTCTGATTATTTCTCCTGCTATAGGACAAAAGATGAAGTATGAAGCTTAGGAAATAAAAATATATAACATTTAAATTCTGTCCCATTATATTTAGAATAAATTGTTGTAGTATCAATTGTACTTTTACAATGCAGATGTATTCTCACAGTCCCATTACAACAGGTGCAGATACATATGCATAGCCATGTAGAATCTCATACATCCTACTGCAATATCAAAGTAATATCCTTGCAGCAGGCATCATGCCTTTCCAATAAATGCAACACAGTGTAATGGTGTGTAGATCAGTGGGTCCAGAAATACTTATTTCAGAAGGCAACATTTATAGAAGGTAACATAAAGAGAAACAGAATACACTGAAGGAAAAATCTGAAATAGTTTGTAAGTCCAAAGAAATTTACCCATGAAATTATGACTAGATGATAGCACACAACTTTTTGTATCCAAAGATTAAGTAAATTCTGTATATTCTTTACACTATCCTGTACCGACTTACTTTTTACTTCTTTAACAAGCAATTTTTCAGACTAATCGCAGAACCAGTACTGCAAGAAAAGCTTATATTTTTACTTACAACAGATTTATACTGCAATAATATTTATTAATCACAAGGCAAAATGTTATTAGCAATATAAAAATTTACAACAGTGTTTTTAATACAAGGCATAGTTAATATTGTCTTGTTCCTGGTGTAGTGAAAAATGCTCCAGTTTCAACAGGCACCAAAGACTCAAACTTCTGTTTGTATAAATGGGCCGACACACCAAGGATGCTTTTCTAAACCTAAGATAACTACCTGGTTTAATATCACATTCCTGAAAAACCTGAGCTCTCTATAAAGGTTTAAGGGTTGTTTTGTGGCTTTTTCTTAATATGCATGTGCAAAAACCACTGAATTGAGAGACAAAAAGGAATTATGTGAATAAAGCAAAGTAATACCCGTTGTTTAACACTTTGTCATCTCCCTGTGTCTGAACATTCGCCCTTTGCATATCTAGCTTATTTGTATTGCTATCAGTGCCCTTGGAGTGGCTGTGACACTGGTTAAAAAAAAATAAAAATCATAAAATGTGATTGACTTGAAGTTGTACTGATGCAATTAATAACACTTATTTATAAAACATTACTACCTCAATTATAGAAAATCAATATTAAAAGAGCCAAAGCAAGTAATCATGTTCTGTATCGTACCTCAAGGCTTAGAGACATTAAACAATAAAAGTAAGATATTTTGAATAACTAAAGTTTACATTATCAAAGAATGGTTATGATTTTAAACAATAACAAAAAGTTAAAAGACACTTTAGCTGAATATTGTATTGCCTCTCTCATATAAGGTGGTATATTTACATCTATGGGCGATAATCCAAGGAATCAATTCTGCCCATACTAGGCATGAAAGGATAGCTCTGCTTAAAAACAGGCTCAGTTAAAGAAAAAAACATGCCCCAAACAAAAACAAACCTCTTTTACCCTGTTAAACCACTCACTGAGATACATAAAAACCCCTGTATCTGTGACAAAAAAAACCCAAGCAGCTGCACAGGCCACAGACTGCCTGGCTAGGAGAAGTTCTGCAGAAAAGGGCCTGGAGGATATAGGGGACAACAAACTGACCAAGACCATCTCTTGCTTTGAATTCTAGCCAGTTCTACCAGTTAAGAAATTAAGAAAATATCTGTAATTTAAGTGTAGGAAGAAGAGAGACCGTCGTAATAGAAATTGTTAAGAAAGCCATTTCATCACATCTACCTACTTTAATAATAGATGTTTCCAATTGCATCCTAAAAATCCATTGCACTTACAATGCAGACATGTGAAAATTAATTCATCATGCCAACAAGAACATGAAACAAGAGAGCTCACCGTTGCAGCCAGCCACATGATTTCTACATTCTTTCTCTTTTTGACCTGGATGTTTTGATGGAGATTTTCTAGCAATCCCTTTAAATCGTTTTGCTCTTGAAACTGTGGCAGACCTGGAAAAAAAGGATTATAAGGATGCTCATGATTATAAGGCTGATGATAGGGCTGTGATGACTAAAGAATGCCCATATTAAAGAATAGGTCAGTTATTCCCAGCCTTATTTTGGAACACGGGTTGAAAAGCACCAGCTAAATATCAGGGAGTAAGTAAACCTTACTTCTTTATAAGTATTGGGTTGCCCTCCTTAAGATCTTAACTATGGAAAATGAAAGTGTCTTCAACTTCTACCTTATAAATGGATGGTGAAAAAATTCAAATCTCTGCTCTAGTTCTATTAATCAACTATCACAGACATTTAATGGAAGTGAGTAGAGAAATAACAGAGTGTATTAAAAACCTGCCTGGGATGAGAAGGTTTTTATTTTTTAACTCAAAATATTTTGCTCTTATTTCAAAATGGAACAACTAATTTGTTTTAGAATTATGCTTTAGTTCCTAATATAACATGATGGTTAAAAAGATCTAAATAAAACACAAAAAAATCCTATAAAGGGTATTTCTCAGTCTGAAATTAAAGAGGACCTTAATTTTGACACACAAAAAAATTTCAGGCTTGCTTAGAATCCAAAATTTTCCCTACGTCTCCTGGATACGGCATCTGAGTTGAAGTTTAAGTGTAGGTGTCCAGAGGGAATTCAAGTAAGATTAGGCAATTTAATTTGCTCTTCTGGTTTTTAGTGTATATACAGAAGGGTTCTGTTCAAATATTACCTTTGTCTTCATTAGTTTTGAAAATAGTTAAAAACAACCAAAATATGTTTTTAAAAATTATTTCTTAATATCATAGTGAAGCAAAAAGAAATGTAGTAGTTATCACCAAAGAAAACCTCAGGATTGGTTGAAACAAAATTAAGCCAAATTGATAAATTGATCTTTTTTTCAACAACAACAACAAAAAAGTAGGATGAAAACCCAAAAAACCAAACCAAGCCCCAAAAGCAAAACCTAAGGTTTACATTCAACTCAGAGTAAAAATGAGGCAACTACTAATGCAGGACAAAATCCATTCTCCTAACCTGAACATAGCTGGAATAATCCCTCTTATCAACAGGCTTTTACCTTTTGTCTCTAATGAATTCTGTGGTTTCCCTTATTCATGATTCGTAGTAAGTGATTTAAACATACTCAAAAAGAACTATTCTGAAACTGTCTAAGTTGCCTTACCCTTACCGTGCTGTGAAAAAGAAAGAAAATGCACAAAAAGCACATTCAAACTAGTTTTTAATAAGCTTAATGTTTTATCTGAGTATTATAATTCCCGATCACAATTAGCAGAGCATATAAAAATAGAGCACAACCTGCTAGACTATTACACTTACCCTGCATCTGTTTCTTTAAAACACATTACATACAATGAGCACTCTAAAAAGATGCTTCCAAATTATGAGAATGTAACACTAGGTAAACATTTTATTGCTTCAAAGCAGTTTTCCTTTGGTTCAATTCAGAATATGCAGACATAGATTCTCCTAATGTCTAATAATGCCAAATGAGCTGCAACCTGACTGGACAGGAAAGATTGCTTAAATTCATTGTGTCACAAAGCTGCATTAAACCATCAAATCATTCTCACAGTTAATAAGAGGGAGAAGCCCAGAAGTATAAAACAGACTCTTTATTTATGCCGAAAAATGCAGGTACTACTACATTATGATGGAAGAAAATCTTTGCTTGCAGGATTTCCAAGCCATGCATTTTCCCCCTCTTCTCACATGGGACATTTACAACACTGATGTTGCTGTGGGTGGTAGGTGTCAAACCAGCATCATCAACTATCATTTGAGATATAGGTTTCTCTGATTTTATCCATTCAGCTGTTTAAATTGAGCTCTAAGCTGTTCTTTTCAATTTGTTATGTACTACTAAACAACAACCAGATGTTTTTATATACTTGCTATCATTTCCTCTTCTATTAAAGCAGCAGAAATTTAGTGCCTAAACCAGAATTACATTTTCTTGGCATTTTTGGTAGAAATCTTTCTAAAAGTGCATTGTTATTGACTATTTTCAGAGATTCCTATTAGATAAATACAGAGATTAAGAAACAGGTGAGTGACAGAGTGCATCTCTATCTAAAAGAAGATAGAAACTCAGTTACGTGCAGCTGAAGTCAATCACTGGGAATAGAGCAAAAGGTAGAATATTGGCAATGGGAATTACAGAGATGAGATAAAAACTAATAAAGGTGTCAATACCTTCGAGAGAATAGAAAACTGAATTCTTTGAAAGGGAATATATGAATGAAGCAGCAAGCAAGTGAGGTGGCCTAAAATTGGTGGATGCAGCAGCCTGGCCAAGAGAACTGAGTCCTCACATTCCATCTGGTTTTATGAGCACCATTTGTAACTAACAGGTTTGTGAACCAGATCCTGGAGCATAGATTTGGCACTACAGGAAACCATCTGGAAAGGTGTGACAATATTATCAATACTTGAACAGCTCTCAATTAGCTACACCACCAGGGCTGCTGCCTACTTGGATGAAGGTTTATTTTCCCCAAGAACCTGAGCACAGAGGTGTGGGAACAGGGGAGTAATTTAAGGCCCCCGTAAGCTGAACAACTTGGAGGGCTTCACTTTTTTTTCAGGAAGTTGGTTGAAAAGGCACATTCCTCCAAACCAAATGAACGATGCTGTATAATTGCAGGGAGCTACTGGGAAGGCAATAAAACCAGAAGGTGTTTTGTGTTCTGTAAAAATTTGGACAAGAAACACTCAGATCCTAAAGGTAGAGACAAAGCAAGATGGTAATAATAACCCAAAAAGACATGATGAATTAAGAATAGTTCTCAAAAGCCTGCACAGTCTGGAAGAAGTCCAGGAAGACTGTGTGGCTCCCTAGTAATCCTTCTGTAGAAAGACAGTATAAGGTTAGTTTCTGTTGATGGAAAGCAGCCAATACTAGCTACATGCAAATTTTTACTTTTATGTAATCAGATGCATTTATGAGGTAGCAGATCTCCCCTAGACATAACCCCAGATGAGGTTAGTTTTTCAAGATGCTTTCTAGGCAGGATTCCCCTAAATTAATTAGTAACTTCTTGTATGACTTACTCTGTAGAAATCCTAGAAATACAAGAGATGTGGATGGATAGGCATACCACCTGCCCTTTAGGAATGGAGCTTTCACATCTGTCTAGATTATTAATAAATGAAAATCATTCTGATGAAAATATAAGCATGTACATATACACAGTGACATACTGGATGCAACTATAGGTACATACATGTAATGGGCAAACTGCAAAACTGATCATGACAGTGTTCTTTAAGAGAACAGAGACTTTGCATGGGATTTTAACCAGCAGTACTGACCCTGAGGAGGTACACACATGCCCTGTAGGGTGAGAGATCTTCAGATTCAAAGGATTCACCCCCCACACTTACCCAAGGGGTAAGAGCAGACATCTAAATCCAAGGTATTTAAAATCAGGTTGTAAAAGCTGCACACGTGGGAATATAGTTTAGGCATTAAGACTACTTTAATATGATTAGATTAATACAAATGCTCTTTTCAGTGTTTGCTTTCAACAATAAAAGTAACAGAATACTAATGTTTATGATACAAAATTTCTATAGAATTGGTATATAGGGTCTGTTCTAATGGAATCGTGCCATCAGTGACATTATGATGTGGCTCATTGCTTGTATTTGCATTTGCAGATTTCTCAGTGCTTTGCCATAGCTCAATACATAGTCAGAACAAGAATGGAGGGAATCACTGAAACTGATGAAAATCCCCACTCAGTATTTCTGTACAAATATAGTAGGTATAGACCATCTTCTACTTGAAACACTAAAAATAATATTATATTAATAATTTAAAAGAGCTGTTTTGTTCATAGTTCTCTGTTTCACTCTCGCTGTGGTTTCTGCCATGGCCTTGGGCCTGCAATCACCACTGACTTCAGCAAGGCTGTGTACAGGCACAAACTGTCTAACTTTATGGAACAGGTTGTGGGACTGAGGCCCACATCTAAAAGCTGAACACTACTATTGTGCTAACATGACTTTCTTCTAATCTGTCAAACCTTTTCAAGCAATCTGGATATTGCATTATTTTCTTACTCACAATCAGAAGGCATTTTTTCTGTAAAGAGCTTGTAATACTCTTTTAGAAGTTCCAAGTTTTCCTGGTTAATGCTTTCCTGCAAAGTGGTATCTCCAAACCTATAAAAAAGCACAACAAAATTATGACCAAAAACCTCAAACAAAACTAAATTGTCCTTCAGAATTGTTTCTTTGTGTAAAAAAATGACTGATTTTTTTTCTATTGTTGAATTTATTAGATTTTGTCAAACGTACAGTAGCTAATCTCTCATGTACTTTAGAACTAATATTTGTGGAAAAGGCCATAACTAGTGGACAATTCTTCCAAAACCTTTTAAAAAAATTAACCCATTTGCATATAGACATTCAATAAAGCACATGTTTCTTTTTCAACGTCACAAAGCCCGTATAAACGTAAGGTCATTTTGTGGGATTTTCAAATGGCACCACAGGCAGAGAACACCAACTCCAGCATTTCTTACTGCTGCTGTTGCTGAGGTATATTAATTTCTACCAGAGCTGGACAACACCGAAGCCACACAAGAAGAAGAGATACAAGTGTCAGGTGGAAAACCTTCTGAAGAACAAACTTCTGCTCTGGTCTGAGAATATTTGCTATAAATAGTCAAATCGATTACTTCTCTGGCACTTTTTTGCCTTACACTGTTGGTGAGCTGTTAGTTGTCTCCATTTCTTATATCTGAAAGTAACAAGAGGACCATTTCTCTGCTGTTGAGCAGTGATTTCACCATTCAGCTTCCCAGAGCTGAAAACCACAGGCTAGGTCACTTCAGCTGTCTGCATTTAAGCTTGCTGCAGCACACAGGTCCCATCAATCACTCTGCAGTGCTGCACCTGGGTCAGTAGCATGTTCTGAGGTTTCTTGCAGCAATCCAGTCTGCCCAGAACACATCACCCAAATCCTCATTATCCTGTACCTCATAGGAAACACATACAACATCAGGAAGTCACTATGCTTATCCATGAACTGACTGTAGCTATATGGTGTCATGCAATGAGCAAATACATTTCTCCACAAGACCAAAATTTCTACAACTGCCTAGTTGCACACAGGCTACAAAACCCCCTCCTCTCTACTAGTACCTCTACTATGAGAGATATGAATAAATGTAAAGAAAGAAATGTCCCTTAGGTAGTTAGAGTCAAGGTTTTGCAACTCATCTTCAGAATACCCTGGAAATGAGAAAAAGGAAGATAATGAAGGAAATGGAGGGATACAGAAAGAGAGACATGGGCAGGTTAAGTGAGAAATTCAGGTGACAAAGAGGGACACAAATCAGATGACACTAAACATACTGGTACATCATGCAGTGGGGAATCAAATATTGACGTGGACCAAGGACAGAAAAGACTCATCTTCTTCCTCAATAGCCAGTGTTGCACTTTCACATGTGAACTACCACTCTGCAACCCTAGAAAAAAGCCCTAACTAGATGAGAAAAATTATCTCCCGCTAGCTTATTATTTGTCCAGTATGTTTAATCTCACCTTTAAGATAGTAAGAATTACCAATATTCCATCATGTTTGAGAAGGCCAAAGTACTGTATACAAACTAACTTCTACTTCCATGAAACAGAAATCCGTTTTATATCTGTATCCAAAGGAAACTTGGTGTTGACTGTCTGAAATAAAGTCCTGTGTATGGTCATATCTTCACTTGACTTTTTCATTATTTTACATTGCTTCATAGATTGTGCTTATTTCCCGTAATACTTCTTAAGATACACACCAAGCGAACATAAGATGGTCCAAGGGTAACAAAAAAGATTTCTTTTTAATCATGAGAGATACCCGGTATTAGCACAGCATACTTGGACAGAAAATGAAACAGCTTTTCCTTACCTCTCTGCAAGTGTTTGCTGTTCATTGATTCCAACATTAAAGAGCACTGGATACATGCGAAGTAGCTTTCCTTCTTTAATCTCTTGTGGCAGCAACTCAAACATCTTTGCTGGAAGCTGGACCTCTATAATGTAATGTTCACTACCAAAAATTAGAAAGAAGAGTAAAGATGGGAATATTGACTGATTTGCTTGAAATTATAACCTTCCTAAATTATAGGGAACATGCAGACTTATAAATCAGGTCCTTTTCCCCTTAATTGTATTGAATCATAAAATGTGACAATTCAGCTTGCTTGTTTTAAGAGTGTAATCAAGCTACCTGGAAAAAGACAGGTATATAGAACTACACATTCTAGGGATTGCCTTAATTACTGAAATGAAAATAGGACTAAAGATGAAAGCAGTAAAAAAGTCTTCTGCTACCAAATTCTCAATGAGAACACCTCAACTCTTGAAATGCATCTTGTGGAGTTACAAAAACTACTTCCTTCCAAAAACCACTCTAAGTGCAATATGAGCAAAAACCTTTCACAAAAACTCAAAGCAAAATTCCCATTTTCTTCAGTGGCTGGATTTTCTCCCTGGGGATAGAAAGCATGACCAATAAAAACACTGACTCTGTGAAGATCATCACTGAAGGCTCATTACACAAACATGAATCCTATTTTAGAAGAGAGATGATATACAGCAGTTTTGGTTTTATCTTTGTGATTGGTCTTAGAGTTGTCTAATAAAAAAAAAAGCTATAATAAATTCAATTAAAATAATTTAATAATCTAATCAACTTAAAGCAAATCCAGTTGTGTCCAGGATTTGGCATTTGAAACACTCAAAAAGGGCCAACTGATAATGAAGTCTGAAATTTTCTCTTCTGCAGAGCACATCTGGTACACCACCAAGAAGGAGGAGTATTACAGCAACAAGAGGGAAGAAGGATCTATATCTTACCTGCAGAAACGAGGCCTAGGAAGTCTCACAACTTTTGCAAGTAAAATTAAGATGAAAATCTATTTGTATCTATTCAAATAATTTATCAAGTCCCTCCAAGTCTTATTTTAATAAATCATATCCTTGATAAATAATTAAAATACAATCTGGATTACCCATGTGTAGAATCTGGGGGAGAAAAGGCAGAAAAACCTGAAGAAAGAGGGCAGTTTCTGCAGTAGCTCTGACACCCCTGGCAAGCTAGAGGGATGAGTGGCACTATATCAGAGCAGGTGTTTGGATATGCAGCTTCAGCTTAGAAGAGCTAGTGGTTGTGTTTGAACCTCCATCCTGCCCATATATCTGAGGGCAAATTAAAACAGATCTAGTACAGACTTGTGACTGAAATGCAATTACATTCACCTAGGGCAATAGCATATGCTTTGTTACAGGCTACAACTAGTGTGTAATCTTTGAGCAAATGCCAGATAAATCCCTACTGAGGAGGGTTATCAGTTTTGAATGGAGGATACATGTCGGGGCAGGGAGGGTGTGTGTGGAAGAAACATTTACTCCCCAGATAATTCTATTTGGTTGGAGTTTTAATTCATTCACCCATGTAAAGGAAATAAAGAGTTAGCAAGGATGACAGTAAAGAAATCTGTACAAATGATCTTTGAATAGCAGCATCCGTTCTTAGCCTGCATGTGAGCAGATCCAGCTGCTGCCAAGTGCTACCAGAACATTTTCTGGTGATGGAATGCTTTCACAAGGTTGAGGAGAAATGTTTATTTAGCCAAATTCGAACTATTAAACAAAAACGCCACCAAATTACTGCATTGCTACGTTTCACAAATCACTACAAAACTCTCAGTGTGCGAAAGAACACTGAGAAATGTTGAACTTTAGACATGATAAATTAACATCAGTACCATTTGAGAGCCTCCCCATGTTTTGTTTTTCTTTCCTTTTTCTAAACATATTTTGAAGTCTCAGAGACAATCCCTGGTAATTTTTAAGAATCTGTAACCAATTGCACAATGAAAACAACCCACTCTGATCACGTGAGGAAAAGGCTGTAAAGCTGTGACAGAGCTGTCCAGGAAGTCCAGGAATTGTACTGAAGTCAGGGCAGGGAGGAGGAAGAAAAGGAAAATACTTCAAAATACTGAGATCTGGTGGGCTCATTTGACATTAATTTACAAAAAAATCTTACAGGTCCTATACTTCTACCTATACAAGAAACAGTAATTATAGCAGTACATTTTCCTGCAGAAGCATCCTGACAGCCCGTAGCCTCTGTGGCATCAGCTCGTGACACTTGCCATGTGCTTTCTCTCTTTTATGGCTGGACTCAGGGCAGAAACAAAAGGTCATTTTGGCATAAGGTGGATAAGGTGGCAACTATGTTTTCCAATGAAAAGGAAAAATCAGTATGTAATTTTAAATATTTCATGACCTCTCAGAAAAACAGAGTGGAGAAATCCAGTATGTTTAAGAGAGTAAATAGTAACTCATCATGACTTTCAGAATTAACCATAAAAGTAGGTAGTAAATAATTACATGTATATTATTTCACTAAAATAGGACTGCTCAAGAATATATTTTTATTTGACTTTCTTTGCCTTATTCTCTAGTATTTGTTATCACTGCATTATAGCTAAACAATTATAGCCCTGTCAGAAGGCTTCAAAAATTACCCCCATGCAGCTGCAGGCCATGGACCCTGCAGCTACTTCCAGCTGGCTTGAATCACATACTCTTAGTTAATTGCAATGAACACAAAACAAATAATTTACAAGCACCTTTGGAAAAGAAAAAATTGCACACACCATCAGTCACTGAATCATAGCTTTTCTTTCAATTAAGTGACAACTTCTTAGCTCTCTTTCATGTGGCTGGAAATGTTTTGTTGAAAACATGGTATCAAACCCCGTGATGCCTCAAAGTTCACGTGCACCATATATTCTATCAAAGATAAAAGTGTTAACTACTTTTGTCTATAATAAAATCACCTGAGTGCCTGAACAGAACTTCACTTCACCTGGATGGTCAGGATCAGCCAGTCAGTGGATCAATTTGTTTGTGTACACAATCTCAGAAAACTAAGCTACAAATTCTTATCTTGCAGAGTATTCACTTGTAATTGTTTTGCTAGGGAAGCACTTAAGACTGTGTTCCATTTATACAGCCCTCCAGTCTCATTTGATCAAGCCACACTATGTAACAACCAAAATGATATAAAAATTGTGGGGTTTTTAAACCTTAATTGGAAAATAACTAGGTTTTCATCCGTCTTCTCTTTTGATGGTAGATTTCTAACACTATTGGATAGAAGCTGTCTCATCACAGCTCTAATAGGAATGGGACTCCTCCACATAAGCTTAAAGATTTATTTTTTTTTGTCTGATACCAATTCCATGCAGTGAATACCTGCCAGTAAGTACAGCACAGCAATCACAAGCAGTAACTCTTCTTCCGTTCCACCAAGCCAGAACGCCTGAGGCAGCTCGATTCTCTTTCAGACCCAGGACCTCCTAGTGTGCCTGTCAGTGTACCACAGTAATGGCAGCAAGCCAGTGAGTGTAGCTGCTGGATTTTTCAAGATTTTTGACTGCTGTGATTTACAAAGGATGTATTTCTTCTGTTTTACCTACACACCACAATTATTCTTAATTATTCCCAATGTATTGCCTATCCTACTCTGGCCTTCCTACTATTTATTTCAATCCTTTCTTGGAAGGCCCACAGGATGAGAGTGAATCATCCAGAATAATTAAGTAAATCAGTAGTGAAGGCCCCCTTCAGAGGAAACATATCTCATAGAAAAGTTGCTGCTTTTAGCTGAATTTAATTTACAGTCATCTTGAGAATAATGATACTATTAAGGAAGTGATTTCTGCAAAAGTAAAAACATTTGGAGCTTCAGATTAGAATAATAATGAAGATGAAAACCCCACTACTCTTGTGTAATGATCTTGTTAACCCTCTTATAGCCACAATTAATGAAGTATTTCAGTTTTGGTTCTGCCATTCAGCAGTGTTTGTGTGTGATGTAAGAGTGACAGAGCACTGGAACAGGCTGCCCAGGGAGGTTGTGGAGTCTCCCTCACTGGAGACATTCAAAACTCACCTGGATGAGTTCCTGTGTGATGTGCTCTAGGTGACCCTGCTCTGGCAGGGGGGTTGGACTAGATGATCTCTCGAGGTCCCTTCCAGCCCCTAAGATTCTATGATTCTATGATTCTATGATTCTATGCATAACATACTAGTGACTTGGTGCAAGGATTTCTGAGGTTCTGTATGTCCTGCCTGATCTTCAGCAATTAAGATACACTTCAGTTTTTAAGAGTAACCTCTAAGTTTCGGCATCTGAGTTTTTCCATTTCTATCTTAAGACAACCAAAGCCTAGCTGAAAAATACACTGAAATACAAGTCTTAGACACCTCAAAACCAAGATTTCTTCAGTTAGAGGCCACTCTTGTGAATATCAACCTTGTCACTCTTAATTTGATTCAGTATCCATACATAAAAAATGCAAGAGAAACCCTGCAATACCCAGACATTGTTTTAATTTCTATAAATAATTGGAACTTTCTGCTTTTCATCAGCAAAGTAACCCAGAGCCCACATTACTACTAGCTTTACAAATCCCTACTACTTCACTACATTTCCATTCACCTCATGAAAAGGGAGACTACTGTGCTTTTCATATAATAGAATTCAGCAACAAGAAAAGCGTTATCTGGGTTTTCTTGTGCTACAGATTAAGACTACATGCCATAGACTTCAGGAGACAAAGTCCTTACCGCCTTCCAGTGATAATAGGTAAAAAATCTTCTGATTTGGCTTCAATGACTTTAAACATTACTTTCTGCAAATCTGAAATTCCCACAGCCATGTCTTCTAGCATCCCTGCTTCTTCACCTATATGGAAAGATCACAGGGGTTATTAACACAGTAGACAGATCAGTCACTGAACAGGCTATAGTAAAGCAATACAATGACTTCATTTTCCAGTCTGTGCATTTAAAAATCACAGCCCTAACTCCACATATAAAGTAACTTATAAATAAGTAGCTGGATTTTTAGAACTGCTGACAATACTCTGTGGCCTCAATCATAACTATGAGTATCAAACACCCCTAAAAATCAGCCTGCTTTATATGTGCATAGAATAACCTCAGAAAAGCCATTTTTGTCTATTCTGAAAGTGTTTTTAAAGACTGTACCACTGATGGAGTAACAATGGTTTTGAGAATAACAATGAGTATCATGCAAAAGGGAGCCTGAGAGCAACCTCCAAGTGAGGAACTGCAATTGCCTGCGCATTAAAAAGCTGCACAAATGCCAAATCCCTTGACATAGGGCAAAATCTCTAATTTGGGGAAGGATTCCAATACATTCAGTTGAAAGCATTCTGACACATGGCAGTTTCTCCCTTCAAATGTCCTTTTTAATACCTATCCAATGATGGCATCAGTAACAAGCTAATAATTAAACAGTTTTCAAGCTATCTTCACATCACTAATACCAGCATGGTCAGGGCAGAGGCAAATAGCATCAGTAACTGCTTAAATCTGCTGCTTGGGTTAACTTTATAAGCCTGCTATTTTGGATCAGGCCAGATGGCTATATAAACGGAGACAAGCTTTTATTAAAATCACAAGTTCCACTAGCTGTACTGAGGAAGGAGTCTCCTGCATTGAAGACAATATACAGTTCAGCATTCTGCAAGAAATAATTAGCAACTAGTGTTCTCAGAGAAACTGAGAATAAATGAGTAATTGTTGATGCAGAACTGACAGCACAATATCAATGAATTCAACTGTGCTATTACATGGAAGCCTACCATCTCCTAAGGATAATATTTGTTGATTCAATAAGCCAAATTCCTGGAAGCAGAGGTGAGGTTAAAATAAGAACCTCCTGGGTCAACTTCTGGTCTGGATGCATAAAGAACTTTGTGCAAAGACAATACTTACTATAAGTACTAAGGAGTCCTTCATATTGCACAAGCAATCCAACAGTATGAAGCTGTTGCAAAAATCCTTGATCATGTAAACTTGTGTGCAATTTGATTATAAACCCACAGACCAATCCAGCGAGCTACAAAAAACAATGAAAAATAGTGAAATTAACAGATGTACTGTTATAACATCAGTAAAATGGGGCTTGCTATCATTATATACCACAGAAGTAATATTTAGGCATCTGAGAAAAGAACACAGATTTCTGTTCAGTGTCTACAAACACACAATTTCATATTAATGCATTATTAAGGCATTGTTGTGTATAAAGCAGTTAAATACTCCATTATTTTACATTAGATAAGTTTCATTTGTTTTGTGGGCTTGTGTGTTATTTACACTGACAAAAGTGAGACCAGAATCTCTGTTGGCAGGCTATGAACACATAAGGTTGTGAAGGATGAGAGATTTGAAAGCAGTTAGGCCCTTATGCAAATGAATCTCCCTGGCAGTTGCACCGTAACACTTTAATGATGTTAGGGAAAAACATATAACTTAAGGGAGAAATAAGATGAATCATTTAGAGAAAAATCTAGCTGGAAAACATGATCTAAAGGAGAAGATCAAAAGAACTTCATTTCTTTATGAAGAGAAGACAAGTCTGAGAAGAGACATGCTAATAGTCTGCAAGGACAAAAAATACTGCTACAAACTGGAAACAAATCTGTTCCTCATTTCCAAGGTGATCAGGAGAAAAAAATACCTAGCTTGAGTAGCAGCAAGGAATATTCAGGGCTTGAGAACTTCACTTATGGATGAGGATACTGGCATATAATCTAGGAAGACTAAAAATAGCTTCTTTGTGCAAAAGGGAGATTAGGTAACTGTTTCCAGTCCATTGCAGACCTAACTCCTCTGACTCAGTGATACAGCTCCTGTGGATTTCCATTTACTATTCATTCCTCTCTATCATATTATAAAATATTTAAGTGGATGTAAAGGGAAGTAGATGAAAAAGTTGTGTTAAATTGGAAAAAAAAAAGAAAAACAACAAAACCCACAAATACTGGCAGGAACAGTATGGTTAATTATAGCAGCAGTAGGAGATAAGTGACACAAGAATACCTACTGCTTGACTAAAGACAATGTCTCTTCTTAGGGTCAGCATCAAACACTGTGGCAAACCACAGGCAAGTTCCTGGAGCAGAACAAACGCCATTGATTGCTTCGCCCTGGTCACCACCTCTCCCATGCAGTCCTTCAGAGTAATCACCAGGGGATAAAGCTGGTCATACCAGTCACCTAGAACAAGAGACATCATCAGTGCCAAAACAAAAAAGCTTGCAGCAAAAATCCTTTTCAGAATGGAAAGAGAGCTGCAGTGGCTGCACAGGTCATCCTACACTTGAAAGTGACCCTCTAGCTCTACATTAAGTGTTGTGGTACAGCAAATGTCACTGGAGAATAAGCTTAGAGGACTCCAGCTTACCACCAAAACTGGAGCTAAATGCCTGCTCTTAAAGCAACTATATCCTGAAACAATGACTTTTTAGGAGACCTAACTTCTGTGTAAAACTTGCAATAAAGCGTCATAAACAGAGCACGCAGGAGTAACATCTGGAAACTCATTTAACATAAGATTAATACTGTGCAGATGAAGATCTCCTTTCCAGCACTGCCAACTTGCTATCTAAGCAAATGAAGTACCATCAAAAAAGTGCAGAAGAGCCTATATTTAAGAAAAAGTGGGAGCTGGAAGGCAAAACAGAAGAACAAATGGATATCTGGAAGGATACTATCTGTTTAATGCATAAGTTGGAAAAATACTAACCTTCAGGTTCCTTTTTCCTTTTAGCTCCTCTCTATACTGGTCTCTTTCAATATTTAGATATATTGAACTCATTATTTTTTTAGCTACTTTCAGCAGAGATTTAGAACTATTTTGTAATATATCTTGCTCTGCCAGAATATATGCTAAGGATATCAGAAAAAGCAAGCTAGTGAAAAGCTTTAAAAATGGGACTCCTCAATATATTACAAAAGAAATGAAGTGGTAACTAGGAATGGAGGCAAATCACAACAGCTTACTCAAACTTGCTCTGTTACCCAAGCTGTTCCTGAATTATTCATGATTTAATAAAATCAGACCTATAGTTGCATGTGGTTTTGCCTACCCTCTAAGTTAAGCAAAAAATAATAAAATCAACGTCCTTCAGAATCTACAGCTCAGTTTCATTGTTACAGTTTAAAATGAAAGAGAAATCAGCACTCCATAAAAATCTATATAAGAATAGGGAGTGTAACTGAATACAGTTCATCACTGACTCACATTTTCTGTAGATTTGTGTAATTAAGAATAAATTATAATTAAAATCTGTTCCATGTAAATTGTAATTAGCTGGAAAATAACAGCCCTCTCTTCCAGGTAACATTCTGAACCAGGCCAATGAAAGACTCACTAGTAGCGAAGAAGTTCCTTAGGCAGAAAGACACAGTTGCCTGTTGCAAAGTAAATTTGGCTATGATATATTTACAGAAATATACGTAAATTAATAACACTGTACCCAAAAGGCTGGAGATAACTTTGAAAGCCAAGAGAAACCACAAAAAAATAAAGCACAGTAAAGAGGAACAAGGAAAGAGCAGTCACAGAGAACAACTTGGATTCCTGTGCAAATGATGACTTTGTGGTCAGAAAACATGTTTTAACACAGTCATACATATTTAAGTGTGAGTAACACAGACTGAAGAACTGTTTCCTGAAAAACAGCAGTTGTGAAGTTAAGAGTCATTGTGAATAGAACAGAACTTAAGCCATGCCCAGGTTTAGGCTCCAGGAAAAAAAGAGGCGATTTTATACATGCCATCGACAAACAGATTACGGATACGCTGTATGCCAGGGGCTGGTGTACAGATTTTAAACAGACTGCTGAAAAAAAAACTAAATTGAGAGTTTACAGAGGAGAGCTACAAAGATTTAATCTCCTTAAGCCTATGAAAAAGGCTGAGTAGCTCGATTTCTCCTCCTCATGAGGAGAAAATGACAAGTACTAGCAGAGGTGCTTATTCTAGGGAATAAAAGCAAAAGAACCACCAATGTTCGGAGGCTCCTGTGAGATGCAGTCAAATTCAGAAATAAGTAGACAAGGCATGACATACTGCAAAGCCAGGCCAGACAGACCAGAAAATCTAAACTCTCCTTTCTAATCTTAAATTACAATAATTTATTAAATTAATCAATAAATAAATGACAAGAAAAGCGACTGCAGCAGAATGAAATTAAAAGATGTACTGCATACTAAACCAGTGTGTGTGATAAGAATAGAGCTTGTTGGCTGCTTCTGCCTTGAGTGGATAATGAAAAAGATTATACCTGGGCACTCTGAAGATGACTTGAGGGTAGAGCTAATAGACATCTCTCCCACTTTCATGGGAAAGCAGAGCTGGATACAAACACAGCCAAGTATCTTGCAAGTCAACTGACAGGGCAAGAAAGAAAAAGTTGAATTTCTAGAACTAGTCGCAGTTTGTGAGCCTGCTATTACAATTTCAGATGAGGACAGGGCTAAGAGCTTTACTGATGTGCTTTTTCATAAAAGAGAGGGTCACATACCTGCCACATGTCACATAACACTTAGATCTGTTTCTACTGACCTGTCATTTAACCTGTCAATATACACCAAGTATTTCTGCTTCTTTAGGAGCATAACTTTGTACTTGTCCTTACTGAACTGCATTCTAATATTTCATCTTTATTTCATCAAGATCCATTCTAATCCTGTTCCTGTGGTGCTTAAAACCTCTCCCAGCTTTAAACATCTGCACATTTTATAAGCATCATTCATATTTCATAAGCCAAGTCAGTAATGAAAATATTGAATAATACTGCATCCAGAACAAATCCAAGTTGATTCTACTTCATACAACCTTTCGGCTTAGCAGTAAACAACAGATAACTACTTTCTATTACACTTTTCCAAATTATTTGCACACACCATGTAGCAGCTTCAAAATATTTTTTCCACAAGGAGTTTTGGGGGCTGAATACATGTCTGGAATACTAACTTACTAACAGAAGTAATTTTTGTCAGTATTAGTTGTATTAAGAAGAAAATCCAAAATTTGGGATCCTCAAGGCCATTTTTTTTTCATTAAAGGACATTCAAGATAAATATATTCAAAATGTTGTTTATTTAAAATAAATTCTACTGAGTGTTTAATGTCCCAAGCAATGCAGTGGTTTACTTACATACGTATTTTGTTTTGTAGAAAACAATAAAGATGTTAAGTTTGTATGAAAACTTATCCTAGTAACTAAGCAAAGATAAATTATTTTGTTATAGAATATAAATAGACTTGTACTTGCCAAAAGGAAAGAAGATTAGCCCATATCCTCATGTTATTAAGTTATCCAGAACAATCATTACTTCTTGCTTAGTGAAAATTCTTATTCACAATTAATAAGGATGCCAGTCGCCAGAAGGTGGAGCTAGTCAGCAAATCTAAAAGAGGGACTGCTTCTATTTAAAAACAGAGTATGAATGAACTAATAAATTCTTATGCTTTCCTTTTCTTTTAAAGCAAATGTAGTGCGATAAGATCAGGATCTGAGGTGCATCAAAGACTGAGGTCTTGGAAAAGACAACTCTAAGAAAACGTTTATATAGCTGCTCAATCTTGATTTAGTTAAAATCACCATATGTCACTTGTTACACAGGATATCCTGTTGCAAGTACTCCAGCAAGAATATAAGGATCAATTATTAACTATGCACGAAGTTAAAAATATCTATCAGAAACACTTACTTATAGCAAAGACTGCAGCTTTTAAGTTGCTCCTTGAAACTGAAAAGCACTTAGAAAGTGAAGTTTATGAAATAAGAAAAAACACTGTATTGTGAGGCTTGCAAGTAAATTCAGTTGAATATGGAAAATAAAATTTTATTGTATGCAAAGGATAAGCATAGAATATTAAAGAAATTCATAAAGAGATATTATTTGTAAAGGGAGCTTTATAATCATGTTCTAAATTCAGGTTTAGAATATCCTGATCTATCTTGCCTCAGCGATGTAGATATGTGAGGATACTGCTTGGTTATGAGTCACTGCTTACATATACGAGTTTGGGAGAGATATAAGTGGCCCTACAGATCCTCCTTCATGAGAAAGCTGACAGTCAGCTCAGAATCAGTTGCTGCTGAAAAGATGATGCAGGGGTCAACCACTGTCCAGGACCTCTACCCCTACAAAGAGCTTTGCAGAATCACTTAAGGGAAAGGAATGGTAATGATTATTGCTTTTATGTTTAACATATACAAGAATTTATATGTTTTAGTTTTTGGTTGTCAAATTTCTTTTAAGATAAAATGGCAAGATTTGCATCCTCAACACAGCAGAGAATCATTTGAAAAAGACTGAAGAATTAATGGAATGAGTAAACATTTGTCCAAAAAAGACATTAGGAGCAACAAAGAAACTTCAGGATGACTGGCAGGTTGCTCTAATGGCAAGGGCAGCTGACTCGTGAGGAATATTTAGCATCCAAACAAAAAAGAAAGCCTACTGATAAAATAAGGCAACTAATTTAAAAAATCATGCTAGTCAGCCATTGGAAAGGAATATAAAGGAAATAAAAGCCAAACACATTAAACAGAAAATGGAAGGACTAAATTAAAAGTAGTAGCATCACTACTATGCAGTTAGTGTAAAAATAAAACAAAAGAATACGTGAAGTAAAGCACTGAGTAAATACTCCACTGCCATCACTAACAGAGAATTGTGGAAGTTCAGCTTATGACATGATCTTGGTTTCTGGAAAACACCCTTCAGTCCCACGTTCGCTTAATCAACATGCCTGCACAGGTAAATGACCTGCAAAGCACCTACCTAGTAATTTTTACATGCTAATATTCAAGCTGCAATATGTCAAACTGCATATTAAATTTCATAAAGTCCAGCAGAAAAGCAAGCTCCTGCTCTTTTCCAAGTCAGACCTCTTGAAGTGCTCATTAAATTGTGTTGGTAACCAAACAGGAAAATCCCTAAGGGTTTGGAATAGCAGGTCTATCTCCTTCTGCCCTGGTAACAGAGAAAAAAGGCAATTCTATCACTGTCTGCACCACCTAAAAATCAGTGGAAATCTTAAATGGCTTCTAGTCACCTCAAAATGTAAATGGTATGAAGTTAAAAACTAAAAAAAAAAGAAATAAAAGCAGAAGAAAGAGTAACGTCGTACACGTAAAGGAACAGAGGGCCTTAGAAATGTAGGTAACAGCAGCTACCCACAACGTTACTTTTTACTGT